TTAAGCTTCTCCTTGTTTTCTAACAGAGTCTCTGCCTTAGGACCAACAGCAGTACTACATACAACCACTCTATGTATTTCTGAATGGTGAGCAATGGAGTCATTCTGCTGGGAGAGGGATGGCTATTTGTCTGACCTATTGCCACAGAGCTAGTTAAATCTATTGCCACAGAGCTAGTGAACAGTAGTTACTGCTATGGGACTTTACTCTGCACAAACTAGCATTAGTATCACTACTTTCCATTAACCATGGAACTTACACAGGGGACTTCCAGAAAGAGAGACAGAGGAGTTATGAAACAAGAATAACTTTTGTAGTATTAGCATTTAGACTTCAAGACATTTAACAGTAAACATGGTCACAACTGATCCAAGATCTGCATGCACCTATACGACTTTTTCTTACTGTTTTCTAAAACATTTTTAAATGCCCCTGTTAAGAATCCATACATTTGTGCTCTGAAGTTCAGACACAAATACACTCTAAAAGCCAATCATAAAGTAATAATTAAAAAAAAAAAAAACCCACCTGGTAAACAACTAACTTTAATCCAAAAGGTATTAAGCAATAAAAGGCCCAGAATGAACATCCCAATTAACCAGAGTACTGATCGTCAACACCTTATTATATAATCATTAAAGAGAATCTTTGACATATTTCAAAAAAAAGGAATTAAGGAATAAAGGATCGCATGACCCACAACAACAATCAAAACTAGAGAGAGAGGATGCTGATGGTTTTAACACCTGTGGATTGAGAGATTCCAGGATCAGGCAGAACTGGACAATTTAAGGGATACAAATGAAAGCACTGAGAAACAAGCCACCTGACAAAGAGACTATTTTCCTGCCCCTCACTGTGTCCCAGTCTTCTTATTGAACTAATATAAATTGCCTCTACTTCTAGTACTAGTAAATAAATATTCATTGGCCCCGTCTTTTTTTTTTTTTTTTTTTTTTTTAAGCAGCAGATCCAATCCATCAAAGACATTAGGGAGTTCCTTGCTCTCCTACCCCATTCCTTACCATAACACCTCTCCCACAAGAGAAAGCTTAATCTCCCTTGGGCACACTGCACTAGCCCACTTTGGGGAGAGTGGGCGGTTTCAGTCAAATCCTAGCGCAGTATTAATAATTTTAACCAAAAGTCTGTTTCAGAAATAACATTTCAAACTTTTAAAAATAAAACCATCGTCGCTACCAGGGTTTCCAGATCCATTTGAGAAGCAAAGCGCACTGGCCCAAGACTTGGTCTCCGTGACCCCGCACACTGGCTATCTCTAACCCGACCGCGCAGGTCTGGCGGCCGGCCCCCAGGAGCCCACCACCACTTGGCATTTAACCTGCCTGGCAAGCGTGGCTTTCGGGTTCCATCAGTGCGAGTCATATTACTTCTCTCCAGATGTCAGAGACAAATCTGGATTAACATGCAACAGAGCATCCTGTGCAGCCCTCCAGCCCTAGCCCAGGAGCTGTAAATGCAGATTCAGTCGAGGACCCCCCGGAGAGCGACTGTTGAATAAAAACTCTAATCCAAAGGGAACATTTCTCTGGCTCATAGGGAGAATCAGGGTCCACTCTTGTGGCGGAGCACGGGCCTAGTTAGTCCCAGCTCTCTACGGAGAGGCGTAACCATCCTGGGAGGCAGCCTTGAGGGACCGGACATTTTACCCTCTTTCCACTCCTTCCAAGACCCCTCTGGGAATGGAAAATGGTTGGATTCAAGGAGCAACGAACAACAGACAATCCAGAGAGGCTTCTTTCGACAACAACTACATGGAAACTGGTCTAAAGGAAGGGCGGCTTAGGCTCTTCCTCATCTTGCCCGCACGCAACGCCCCAGCTCCATTCTGCGCAACCAGCACACGCTCCTCTCATCTCTTTGGACCCGTGTCCTTTTCTGTCGCCAACCAGGTCCAACACTCGCTCCGACGCCTCGAACTACAATCCATTTACTCATTCGCTCGCAGCCCGGCCCTAGCCCCACTTGGAGGCCGGGAAGCCTATGAGCCGCCCGCTGACCCCAGGCCCGAAGGGGTAGGAGCAGCCCGGGCCAACCAGGCGCGCAGCCGTCGGGAGAGGGCGCCAGGGAGGCCTGCGCCTGGCGGACATGATTCTAAAGTGTGGGGGGGGGATTCTTTGGGAGGCCTCCTGGACGTTGGGGGGCCAGGAGGGTGGGGTTATGGCTCCTAGTGGTGTTTTAATCTGATAAAAGCGCCCCAAATCAACAACATTACAAGGCCAAGTGGATTTCCGCCAATTTAGCCCTCCGGGAAACCCTCTGGTATCACAGTCGTCGATTCCCAGTCCCGGGACAAGTAAAGTAAAATAAACCGTGCCGCCAGCGGACCCCAGAGGCACAGGGGTTAATGAGCTAACGAGGCCCCGGGCTCACACCACACCTGAAGCGGTCCACTCCCCGAGCGCGCTTTCTGCCTGGGCTCAAACTAGCCGGGCCGCATTCGCAGACAGGTGGAGAGGCTGTCCTTTAGGACCCGGCTCAGAGGGCACTTGGGGTTCAGAGTCCCCGGAGGGTAGTGGGGGAGGGCAGACGAACAGATTCCAGTCGCTGTAACTGGCGCCTTAGCGGAGGCTCTGGCGCCTCATCCTTGGCTGCCCACCTTCCCAGGCCAGGAGAGTCCACCCCTCGCCCGAGGACGCACAGGATTTGTGGCACAATCCTGCGTGCGCCCCGCATTCTGCTCTCTCCTCTCTAAAAGAGGCCAATTAAAATGAGAAAACATGGGTTTGCTGCTCTCCGACCGACTGATATCTGAGTGAGCCCTCCGAGTCACATGAGCGCTTCCATGCGCCTAGGCTAACAGCACCAGGAGCTCAGTAAGTCCTGTCTTTCCCAAAGGTGCGAAACCCACTCTTAAGGGGGGGTGGGGCAGAAGTATGCCCCAAATGGCTCCTCATTTTATAGGTGGGTGTGTGTGTTAAAATGAGCATCTTAACCTAATACAATTGCCCATCAATCTTTGTATATCTCAAATTAAGGTAATTGGGTAACAAAAGTTTACGGAAGGAGTATGGGGAACACTCAATGATGTTTTATCAATTTTGTATCTCCCTCCAAACCAAACCAAACCAAACCAAACCCATAACTTTGGTCCTTTATCTTTGACTTTAATAAAATAATGATTCGTTGAGAAAATGGGGTATAAATCTTCATTTTGGAGGCAATTAAAGTGTTGATTTCATTCATGCCCCTAAGCGATTCTTGCAATTTGCTCAAATAGCTTTATGTACCCAGCACTCCGGAGCTTTTAGAATCCCATTTTCTAGTTAGGCTTGTTGGATTACAATTTTTATTCAACAACATCTACCCGAGGGTTCCTCGCCTGAATCTGCATTTAACAGCTCCCGGGCGAGATCTGGCGGGCTGAACCAAGCGGGAGGCCTGGCAGCCGGCGGGGCCAGGGCCAGAAGAAGCCGCAGGCAGCTGTCCTAGCTCGGCTGCACACAGCCTGGACTGCTCAGGTTCCTTGTTCTCGGTACGCGTCTACACTGCCCAAAGTTTACAAGTCTCCAGATAATGATGAAGACCTACAGTGCTGGCGTGTCCCCACTCATCTTGAGTAAAGTAGAAGTTAAGCCTGTGTTGTGTCCTGTGGTGTCCCAGAGACACCCAACCTGTGGTATTTTAAGGGGGGAAGATGCTAAGAGAAGAAAACTCTTAAGAAGGCAAGAAGACCGCGGGTCGGGCACTCGGACAAGGACCACAAAAAGACAGTCACTGGCCAACCAGGATCACTACAAATTTTGCAAATGAAAACACTACTGGCCTCATTGGCTTTTAGTTTAACAAAAGCAGGCTGATATCTCCCCCAAGACAGGATTCACGTGCCAAGTTAGAAAGAGAAACAACTTTGGACCTTTGCTTCTTTATGGGGGTTGAGGGAGGCAGGCAACTCAAATCTAGAAAAGTATTGTAACAATTCACAACAGAGAGCTGTCCTGGTCCCTGTTTCATCTCACCCACTCCTCACGTTTTCACTTTCATTGCCTTTTTGCATCTTTTGACCAATCCTGAGGCACAGTGACATGCTGGAGATAAACTGGGAGTAAAGAGTGGTGTTGGAGTGAGAGAGATCCCCTTAGCAGCTCCAAATAAAAGTCATTCCCACTTAGCAAAGGTGGTGGAAGAAGGGAGCACAAGAGAGGAGGGGCATACAAGCAAGCAAAAAACCAGCAGGAGAGAGCAAAGGCAGCACAAAGTCTGCACCAATAACACATCGAGGGAGCCACCGGGGTGCCCTGACTCTGACAGTTCCAAAAGCTGCCAACCCAGAGGGCCCAGAGCACGTACCAGCTGGAGGATGAATACAAAGGAGGAGGAGAAAAGTCCATATTTATCTGTTTTTATAACCTCGGCCTGGTCTTATTTTTTCTATTAAGTACAATAAAATGGGCGAGCTTGCAAGCGGGCACTGCACAAAGCAATGTTCAGTGAGGTCTAGAAGCGTTCGGCCGAGGAAAACTGAGAAGACAGGCTAATGAACCGTATAGACAGGGAGAAAATAGCCAACATTTGCTAGATTTCAAACCCTCGCTGTCTTCTCTTAGACCACCTATCTTGGATTTATTCCTAGTAAAATAAGAAATAAGCAGACCCTACACTTATTCTTTTCTTTGAAATAGAAGTGGGGAGGAATGCTCCCGAACAAAGCCCTACAATCAGAGGCGGTCACTGGCAGTTAACACTCCCATTATTACAGAGGGTAAATAAAATAAAGACAAAAATTAAAAGCGACAAGAAACAGGTCAAGTTTGCAGGCAAAGCTTTTACAAGCTCATCTCTACAGGTCGAATCCCAGAGCCAGTCTTAATGAAGCAATAATAGACACATTATTCAAAAATTTTCATTTCGATGGAAATGTATCTAAAAGGGACTTAATCATATGCAAATAATAAAAGGAGGTGGTAGTGACCCAGCAAGCAATATGCATACAGATTTTTTTTTCCCTCTAGGGATGCTGAGGATTGAAAAGCGCATACCTGGTCGGTTAGATTTGCTGATCTTGTTATATCTTCACTGTCTGATTTTGATCCTCCTTCTCTATCGTCTATCACCAGATCGATAGGCATTTTCCCTTTCAAACAGCTAATATACCGGTGGCAGAAATTGTCACATAATTCGTGTACCTACATTATGACAGAAATTAAAAAAAAAAGGAAATATAATCAGGAGTGCATAAATGACATTGACAAGTGCAACCCACCCCCTTGTGAGATGCAAACTTCCAAATAGGGGAAACACAGGGCAATTGTCCTCTAGAGACCCCTAGACGCATCCAGAATTAGGAATAACTTTCTTTTCTCGCAAAATAGAGATATCCCAGAAAATTGACAGTGACAAGATGATTCACAGGCTACAACATATTCAACACCCGTGTTAAATTCATCTGCTCCTGGGGCTGTGGCCATTAGAGAGGTGACCTGTGTGGGTGACATTTAAGGTAAACTATTTAATTTTATCCAGTTACTTTCTCATAAATCCTTTCCCAAAATGTCTAAGGAAAAAACATGTGTGTGTGCGTGTGCGTTTATATACATATACACGCGTGCGTGCGCTCACACACACACACACACACACATATATATATATATTCATATATATCCTGAGGATCAATATGTGGTAGCTAGCACGGGGCACCAACTCAAGTCTCTATAACATTTGTAACTGGGGTTTCTCGGCATAAGGAGCATATATCAGGATACTTCTTTAAAAAAAAGGGGGGGGATCAAATTGCCAGTACCTGTGATATGAAAAAGCCTACAGCCAGAAAAACTTATCAAATTGATTTTCTTTTTCAATGAAAAAAGAAAGCTTCGAAATATTTAGGTGTAAGTGGAGAGGTCTCTTTCAGGCCCCAGGCACCAATGACATGCAAAATTTCACAAGAAACCCCAGAGTGCTTGCAATTTAATGTTAAGTTTGAATTACAATGCATTAAGTTTTTATAGCTGAGATTTATAGAACAGCTAGCAAAATCATGTTATCCACACCCTTCCCGTTGAGTATGAAGTTAGGGTGTGTGCAGGATTCACAGATTCAAGAAATTGACACAACTATCAACTCTGCTTTGTCTCTGCAAAACGTTTAATGTGCCTCCCCCACCACCTCCTCCAGACTCCCTGCCTGTTCCTCCTCCCCCTCTGCCTCTCCTCTGTCTGACCTGCCTCTGCTCTCAGACTGTCTTCCAGCAACTCACTAAACTAAACAAAACTTTGTTCCCCTTCAGAGGTAGCAAAGAAGAGGAGGAAGAGGAAGAGAGGAGACCACATAGGTATAACTTGTGAAACAAATTCGCAACAACATTCAAAACAGTAACTGGGATGCATAGAATTCCAACTGTTTCTAAAAAGCCAGCAAGGTTTTAAGAAGGAACACTAGGCTAGGGCATTTGTGATCTCTGGTTTTAGTCACTGAAATTGTAATTCAACTGCAAAGAGAAATGGACACTAAGATTGGCCTTGACACTAATTACAAAAAAAAGAAAGTCATTTATGCAAATGTCCCACAAGCCTGAACTTCAGCCATTCTGAACCCTCCCTTGTGTATGTTTGGGGTGATGGGGAAGCAATAGGAAAGGGGGGGGGGTAGAGAAATTACCTTCTCTAATTCCAACAGATGAAACCTTAATACTTGTATGGCTTGGATCATCTGCAAAGATACAAAAAGAATGAGCATCCCATTCCTGGTTTGCAGAAAATTGTCTCAGCTCTTAGTCTCTCCAATTACCCTCCCCCCTCATCTCCCCCTTCCCCCCAGTAAACAGAGTTATTTTGATTTATGGCAATAACAGTAAAACTTAATAGCAATGACTAGGTACCATCTAGAGGTTTATATTTCTTAAGGAGAAAAAATAACTAAAACAACAACTTCGCATCTAAGTGGGGATCATAAACACTCTCCTCCCCCATGGCTCTCTCCTCTCTCTGACCCAACTCCTCCTTAATAAAAGGGCCACATCCCCTGGACTCGATTTTTCCTTGGGACGAGTGAGCAGAAAATATTCCAAATTTCCTTCAGATTGTGACTTTTCGCATTAAAACTGCCTGCAGCTCTCCGCACACCTTTCAGGCAAAATCAGTTGTTTGGGGGCTCTGGCCTGGTCGGTGCCCTAGTGACGCGACTCGGAGGGCTGGGAAGCCGGCAAAGTTTAAGCACACACGCTGACAGGCCCAGAGATAAATCCCCGCGCTGATTAGAGCTACGCAGCGAGGCTGTCATAAAAAACAAAAGCTCGCGTTTCCCCGCGCCGGCTTGCCCAGCCCCTCGGGAGATGAATTTATTTCCCCGGGATCTTGTCCCGGACCACTTGTCCGTGGACAGAAACATTTGCAGCCGGCTTGCAGCTATAGGAAGACCCGTCCGTCTAGAAACTTCAGGTCTCTCAAAGCAAAACTAGGGGTGCTGGGTGGAAAGATGGGGAGAGGATAAGGGGTCCGCTCTTACCAAGTTATCCAGTTCTGGATTAGAAGAAAATAGAGGTTTTTCTGCGCGAATCTAAATACAAGTGAGAAGGAGAGGGAAGAAGGAGAGGGGAAGAAAAGAAAGAAAAATTGAAATTTGGTCTCCTTTCCTAGTACCTTGCTTCATTACACAGTCGGGGGAGGGGGAGCAGTCGGTAACCTCTGGGTTGGACACAGTGACACCGAGTCTGTCCCGCGCACACTCAATGTGAATCAAATAAACCGAAAACGCCCCAGAGTAGCAAGAACGGTTCTACAGAACCCTGAGCAGCTCGCCAAATCGAACGCAGCTACAACGCGTGGAGTTTGCGATTTTATTTTATAAAATAGCTTTCTATGTCAGTTTATGGTGGTTGAGTGGAGTTGAATACGGTTATTTAAAAACAAAAAAAAATCCGCAACCAGACATTCATATAAGGCAGAACATCTCAGGCTAGGTGAAATAGTATGGCGTGGAGTGAGCTATTTGTTAGTTACTTTGCAAAATATGTTGGATGGGTGGGTGTGTGGCTCTTTTTTTTGTTTTTTCCTTTTTCTTTTTAAACATTTATTTTGCTGACCTGTTTGGCGAACACAGCTATATCTTCATTGAATGACTCTGAGGAGCAGACGTCCCCGCCCGCCACCCCCGGCTCGCGGGGGGTACAAGTAGCTAATTCACATTTCTCAAAAATCAGTGCTAAGAGTGGGAAGAGGGGGTGTCTGCAAGAAAATACAAATGACAAACAACACAATGGTTAGTCCCCAATCGGTGAAAAAGGCGCCCAAGCAAAACAGCCGAAGGAGCTGGGACTGGGACCCCTCCACTCTGGTCTGACATCGACTTTTCGTTGTTTCTTTTCCTTTCCTCCCGCCTCGTGACTGCCCACCTCCCATTCCTCCCAGGGCTCAGAAGTCAGAGACCCTGAGCTGTGGACCGTATCTGAGGATCGGTTATGCCAGAGAAATTGGTAACATTTGCTAAGAATAAAACCCAAGCGGTTCCCGCAGCCATTTTGAATTAAGTTTCCCACCCCCACAAGCCCAGGTCCCTCCGATCCACAACCAGGACCTGGTGGAGGAGCAAGGAGTTGGGGTAAGGGGTTGGAGAGCTGCTTCAAGTAGATTACTTGAAGGCAGTTGCGCCAAGGCCGAGGCCCGGGGATCTCTGCAGCAGGCACTCTACTAAGTTAGAGAAAGCAGCTCTGGGGCTTTGGGATTGACTGTCAGGGGGCTGCAACTACCGATGTAAACCCCATGACCCTCCAAGAGTAGGGAGACTCCTTGGTTCCCTTCACACTTCCCCGGCTCCTCCCCGATGGCCTCACGGCCTCCCAAAGAAAGTTGTTTCCAATGTTCCTGTGGTAAAGCCTTTCATTTTGTCTCTGTGGAGTGGCAAACAGCTGGTATTGCGAGAGGTCTCGATGTTGCTATCTCAGCCCATAAAAGAAAAAGAGAAAAAGAAATGAGCTTCTTCTAAGGCCCAAGGAGGTGTCTCCAGCCGTTTATTAGCTCTTACAGCCCAGCTGGGAATTTTACAGTTGGGGTCCTTTCCAAAGCTTCCCCAAATGTTCTGTCCCGGAGCCTAAACCATTTGTAGTTAATGCTGCAGATAGAATGCTGGGGTTTGAACAAGCCCACATACAAGGGACCAGAAAAGAAAGCAGAAAGCTTTCCAGCTGGGGACGGCCAGGGTTACATATTTTTACATAAGAAGAAATGAATAGAAAGAAAAGTTGCTACAAAGTTTAAAAAAATAATAATAAAGTTCCAAAATTCATCAGCACATTGGGCACAAGTGACTTTCGAAGGATTCTGGAGTCAGAAAAGAATCCAGGGTCTAATGGAATGGCCTGGGAGAACACGGTGTAAACAGTGCCCGAAAAGAGCCCGGCTGGAGAGCACTCCGCATCCACTCTACCTATATCTTGCAGGTTTTTCCTTTTAACACAAAGTGCAAAGCCCGCTTGAAGTTTCTAAATATCTGTAAAATTTCAGAGCGAGTCCCTCTCCTTCAAGTCAGTGATCAAACTCCCTAAATGCAAAACATGTTCCCCCTTGCCTGACCTGCAACTGTCCTCCCTTGATTTTATTGTGCGGTGGCAGAGCCAGCATGCGGTTGCTGAGTAAACTTAGCAAGTCAGAACAATCAGTGGCTTAAAAGATTTTCCTTAAACTAAAACTTTCATTTGCACACAAAGGCGCCTACATTTAGAAACCCCTAAAGCTTTCCCAACCATGACCTGGTGGTGAAGACTCCAACCCGCTAAACTCTGGAGTCATCATCTGAGAGGGGCCGAGGGACCTTTAAGCAACTTCTCCCTCGCGGGGACCGCTTTGCAGACAACACTGTTGTGGAGCAAGGCACTGGGTAGGTGGGGAGGATGTGTAGAGATGGAGAACAGGGGCTGCTAACTGATTGCCTCCCCAAAGTTTCCATGCAATACAAATGTTAAGTCCCAAACATGTACCTCCATCCAGAGAACTCCGACTTTCCTCTTACCAACAGCATAGGGAAACAAGGGACACATCACAATTCGACAACTTAATCTGCTGCTTATTGTACCTACCCATAAATGGCATCTTTATCTCTCTTTAAAGCGTCATTGACCGAGGAACCCATGCTGGGGGCCATGGCGTTGGTGTGAGCTGTGTGCGGGTACTGATGTGAGTGCAGAGGAGGCCCGTGGTTCAGGTGGTGGACCGGCTGCATAGATCTGGCAGCATGCGGGTCCCCATACATCGTGGAGGGGATGCCTACTCCGTCCATGCCCCCGTAATGGGGTAGATCGTCGTACTGCATGACAAACAGGAGACAAATAAGGTTCAGAAGGCCAGGCGGGTAAAAGTGGGAACGGCAGAAGTTCACATAATGTCAGTCCAGCTGGGTCGTTTCACCCAGAATGTGGTGGCCTTGCATCTCTCAAGTTGAGATTTCTAATTTCAAAAATAATCCTTAAAGTAAAAATCCCAGGATTCTCCTTGAGACTTGGTCAGGATGAAAAGTCTTGCCCTAACTTGTGTCTCTATCAACTAGTTCAGAAATTCAGGATCCTTTGGCAAGGAAGGAAGGATGAAGGAAAGAAAGGGAGGCATTCTCCCGGAGGGCGGAAGGTAAAAAACGTGCACGTCTCTAGAGGAGGAAATTCAAAATCACAATAATAAAACGTGCCAGGACAGTGCAGCAGACCTGTCTAGTTTCATAGCCCCTTCACATCAGGGGGAATACAAAAGTAAAAACTAAAAAAGTTACGATAGGAACAGCTATGCCAAGCACGTGAATCCGTACAGGCTTCTCATTTTATTTCTCTGCCAGCACGGAGTTAGGTAGTCCTGAGACACTGCATTTCCTATGCTTTCCAAGACAAACTCTGCTAAATTATACAAAACTAACTGACCCCTTATAAGTAGAACTCAGGAAAGGGTAGCTTTCACTGTACATTAAAGATGAAATTTCAAACTGGGTAATTTCCCTCCAAGTTGAAGAAGAATCTATAGTTGAAGCAGTCCATTATTCTTTTTTTTTTTTCCTTTCTGAACTTTCTTCCCATACTAGTAGTCAATGAGAACAATATTTCTCATCAGGTTTAAAGGAAATTCAAAGCAAACACTCATACAAACCCTATCTCCCTCTTTCAGAAAAACTATTTTCATATTGACGGTCATTTCATGTGTGCAAAATTTAGCTACTTCAAATTTCTAATTGCTTCATTCCAGGCCAGTTCTTTTCCCAAGATTTGGAGGTGCTGAGAGTGAAATGATTTTCAAAGAAAAGAGGAATTGCCACTTTCATCTCCTTAAACTCAGAGGTGTGAAAGGGGTTTGGAAGAAGGCTGACATTTGCCTGAACCAAAGGAGCAAAGAAAAATGTGTCAGCCTAGTAACTTTCTTTTGCAAACAGGGCTTTGAGGGCCAGGACACAAATTATGCAAGGAAGGCTTTTTGTGGACCTCTTTTCTTTTAAGAAACTACCTCAGTTGGGTTGTCATTGTCTCACTTTACTCTCACTACGTTTCCATTCAAATAGGAATATTGGGGAAATTAGTATTGCATTTTTAAAGTGAGTAGCTGTGTGCTTAGTATCCAATTAGTACAGGGCTTGGCTAAGAAAAACTTTCAAACTATTACCTTGCAAGGAAAATCTATGCACATGAAAATCACTGTTAAAAGATGAATATTTTCCGACTCAAATTCTGCTGAATTGTGACAACGTGATTTACTTTGAAAAGTTAAATGTTTCTAGTGAAATAGCAAAAATGAATATAATCAATAACATATCAGAAGTTTCCAGCTGCTTATTTTAGTTAAAAAATATCTTTAAACTGATCTCTGAACGCTTAAATTACAGCATTCAGTGTTTAGCGGGTTTTTTGTTTGTTTGTTTGTTTATTTTTAACAGTTGATTTCTCGAGCTTATATTATAATTTACATAGTTGCTGGTTAGTAATCTATAGAAAACGTGATTACTTGAATTCACAATTACACATAACATACATAAATCCTATAAATGCATTGAATAAATCCTCTCGGTTTAGGCCACGGCTTTAGGAGCCTCATTCAAAGAGAAAGAGAAAAAAAAGGAAACTTTTTAGCAGAGTCCTTAAACCACGTTTCAATTTAATCTCACATTTGAGTTCCACAATTGTTTTTTAATACGTACCCTTTGCGCCATCGGCCTCCCTGGCTCCCTTCCTACTTCAACTTCTAATATATCCTCTTTAAGGCCAGTGTGAAAAGAAACAAATAAGCAAACTCCCCCGGAAAAAAAAAAAAAAAAAGCACGGCGAAAAATCCTTAATGTCTCCAGCAACGTGAGCTACCGGTCCCAGATCTTCGGTCTATGGGACCTGAAGCAAAGCGCCCGAGTCACTGAGCATAAAAGCGCTCCGTTTCCAAGACAGCAGCGGGGGGAAAAAAAAAGAAAGAAAGAAAAGCAGATCTTCTCTCCCCCAAAATTCAGTTTACAAAAAAAAAAAAAAAAAAAGAGCGCCCCTCAGACCCAACTACCAAATCTCATGGCTTTCTGCCACTCCGGCTGTCAATCACAGGCGAGGTTGTCAACGTGGTGAATGAATGATCATCCGCTCTGTCTTCTTCTGGTCAGAACACCTCAAATGTTAATATTCAAATGCACAAAGCCCTGGCGCTCGCTTTCTTTGAATCTGTCCTAATTCCTAATCAGTTTCTCTCTTCTCTCGCTCTCTTTCTCTTTCTCTCTCCCTCTTTGCAACTGCTGCACTGGAGAGAGATTAGAGGAGGAGGGTTAAAAAAAATGTCTGTCTGAGTTTGTCTTAAAGGAGCCACGATCGATGCTGCCCGCTTGCAGTCCCCGTGCGTGTGTAAAGTGTGTGTTGCACAGGCGGAGAGGTGGATTCCGACCAGAATGCTAGAACCCGGAAGTAGTGGTGGCCATAACAGGTCGCGTCTTACACAATGCATTGGGCTGCAGCAAGTAGGTTCCTCGGCAGGGGTGGGTGCATGAAGCGAGCTCTGGCCGCACTGGAGAGGCAGAGAGACGCTCCATTAAATCGCACGACCAGACACAAACACTCACACATCCAGGGCACACACATAACCGCGGGGAGCGCACCCGTCCGTCGGCTTTATTTTCTATATTCTTTTCTCTCTCCCACCCCTCCGTACTCTTCCCCCAAAGCAGACTCTCTTGAAATAAATTGGGAATAAACGCGGGACAGGCAGCAGCGGGAGTTATTTTGCACAGGGCTCCGCGAATAGACTTCATTACTTCCATCGAAATTATTGGGGTCTGCCAGTATTTTTTTGGGGGGGGCAGCGGTGCTGAAGTGCTGAAGTCTCAGAACCAAACACCCCAATGGGGACAAGACAAACAAGGAGCGAGGAAGAGAAGGAGAAACCGGAGCGAGGCTGGGAAAGGCTGTATGTTGGAGGAGTCCTGAGAACGTGGGGTGGAGATGGCCCCGGCTTTTGCAGACCTTTTTTAAGAGTTTTTTTTTTTTTTTTTTTGTTTTTTTGGCTAACAGAGGTGGCTGCCGGTCCGCAGGAAGGGGAATGCTTGCATTTTTTCACTTTGGTTCTGGACGGCCCGGCGGTCCGAAGTCCCAGCCCGGTCGTCCTGCGCGAAGTAACAGACGAAAGGAGGGAACAATGAGCTGAGCGCCGGGAATGTGCCCCTAACGCCTGTTTACAAACACAAAGCTATTTATGATCGTCGGAAAGCGAAACCTGACTCGGGCTCAGAGCAGTCGGACCTCACCGGCGTAGCCGGGCCCCGGGAGCCGCGTGGAGGGAGGTTCTTTCTCCGACCCGCTCAGGGCAAGGAGGCTGTGCGCCCAGGGCGCGGCGCGGCTGGGCTGGCGCGCTCGGCTCCGGCCGCGCCGCCTTTGTCTTCGAGACGCTGAGGGGATCTGGCCTCCGCCACGCTCGGGCCTGGAGGGGCCCGGCGCCCCCAGCTTTTTCCCTGCCTCACCTCTCCCCTCCCTTCTTCCCTCCCAGTCCTTCTTTTCTGAGTTCCGCTTTCCTGTTACCACCCTGGCTTGACGAAAACTCCCAGTGCCAGAGAAAAAGAAATCTACCTCCAGACAAAAAGCTGCTTCTACATACAACTCGAAGGCTCCAACCAAACCACTGGTTGTAACTTTCTCCTTTTAAATACCTATTTTGGGGGTTTTAAAAACGTTTCTATTCTTTAGACTCTCGCTCTCTCTTGTCCTTTATAATTATGCTTATTGATGTTATTTGAGTATTTTTCTGTCCGCCTGGCTTTCATCTGCCGAGATGGCTCAGACGCAGCAGCCCAACCAGCGGGTTGGTAACCTCACATCACTGAGCAGGGCTCGCAGCTCGCCCGGCTTGGAGTAAATTTTTTTTTTTTTTTTTTTTCTCCCTCCAGCTGAAACCTTGCAGAAAACTCCCCCTGCGGTCTGCAGGAAAATGAGCTCACCCAAATCTCGGTAGGCAGCCGTGGAGGAGGGTTTGGCCAATCAGGAGGCGCCCCCGACAAGGCGGCAGCGTATTGGCTGTAAGAAAAATCAATTATCAAATAATCGATCAGCAGGGAGCTTCGATCTGCCGGGAATGCAAACTGCCAGTCCGGATTCCCGCCCTGAAGATACCCAAAAGGCTGACTCCCCCAAAGAAACCGGCAATGCACATCCGTCGCTGCCTCCCCCATCCCACCCTGCCAGCTGCGGATCAAACCCCAAACCCTTAAAGGGTGTGTAGGTAGGAGTAAGTATTTTGAGAAAGATTAGAGGGATACCTTCACGCTGAAAATGTTTGCAAAAGGTCAACTCTTAATGCGCAGAGTAAAGGATAATTTGCATCTCTGCGCGAGATAGGGCTGAAGTTTGTTAAGTGGGCTTCCTAAGAGCGAGGGACACAAGACGAGCATCAGAACCTAGGTGTGGACACAGGTTCCACAGAGCACACGCAGCCTCCTTGGGCGACATCTTTCCGTTTATTTTAGCATTTCGCCACGAATTGACGCCCAGTTTCTTCCAATACTGGAGCGTTGCCAAAAACCTAGTTGCTGAGCCTACTCAGCCTGTGTGCAATACTCCTCCTACCTCCCTTCGCCCCCTACACTGTCCTCGACACCACACCAGACCCATGTGTGACTTACAAGCTCACACACATTCACCGAAAGTCTTCAGATGCGCTTTGTTTTGAAAAAGTCAAAAAAAAAAAAAAAAAAAAATCCCCAGAATCCCTCATTAGTTGCCTCCCTATCTCCAAAACACCCAAGTTTTAGGATCTTTAGCTTATCTTCCTCGCATACACGTATAGCATTTGGGAGCACTAATGCCCGGATATATCACACGGGTTAAGTAAGTCCGTGTGTCAAAATCAAGAGAAACCAGGTGAATAAGCAGCGTCGTTACACCGGTGTTAGCTCCTCTTGTTCCCCCGCCCCTCAACGTGAACTTGGAAACAGAATTTCGGGCCAAGATAGAACCTCCCAGTCCCAGAAAGGCGATTTCTCTGTTCTTGGGAAGCTCTGCTAGCTAGGCCAAGCAACACACTCCTTTTCTGATTACCGAGAGGATCAACCTGGGTCGGCAACTTGGAAGCTTTTCCCTAAAGCCCAGCCCGAACGCCTTTCGACGGCTGCTTGCGGGAATCTGAGAATCATCTCTCTTGTAGGCCCACCAGACATCCGCGGGGCCTAGGATTGGGTTTTGGGGCGGGCGGGTGTCAAACCAAACACCGACAGGGACACATCTACGTTTTCGATGTTTAAATGAACTGCGAGGGAAATTGTGTAAGTATAATTTAACTGAGAGTAATTTACCGTGAAACACAGTTAGATGGCCATGCTCTTTACAGACCCATAGGTTCTCTGGCAAAGTCATAGGTAACGACCTTGGGGTTACCTCAGCACTGCAACCACGTCTGCAAATTTGGAAACAACTAGTTTTGTTTTTTTTACTATAGGACTTATTTTGTATTACTGCTTTCCAGTTAATTTTGTTCTTAATGTTTTGCTTTCTAGCAGAGATAAAAGAAGATCCAGGTTAAGTTATTCATTTTTCAAGCATACTGCAAAGCAGTAGGAAGTCTATTCTGTGCTTTCCTATGACTGTTCAGATTACCAATAAATGGACTTTGTAAATTATGTATGCACAGATTTTCTTTATAGAAAGAGCTAGTGCAAATTTGTGGCCTTGAAACAAACTCTTACTAGTTTTGAAAAGTGTCTTCTTTCTTCCACTCTCCCCCGCCCCTCCCCTCTTCATTTGTAACTGTGAACCAAAGTCTACTTTTAGGCCTTTAGATTAATTCTGAACAATCACAGGACTAAAAACACTTTTACAATGTAATTACAGTAGTACAAATTGTTTGCCCAAACCTCATTCAGGATAAGGATTTTACAATTAGCAAACAGTTTTTACAGTTGAGCTTGTTGAGAGAAATTGCACAGAGGATGTCTAGAGTTGCAATATAGCAGCCATAAAAAAAAAAAAAAAAAAAAAAAAAGCTCCATAACTGGGTAGCAATTAATCATCTATTAAAAGAAAAAAGTGAAGGGACAAGTTTAGATATCTTAGAAAATTAGCACTGATTATTTACACCTATTCTGGGACAGCACCTATTCTTAGATTCCTACAGATACTTAATTTTTCAAGGCATTAGCACTTTTAATTTACAAACCTTGGCCTGGTGAAGGGTCTGGACTTGGTTTCTAGCTCTTGTGATACAGGCCTTCTATACTCTATATTCCAGAGCACCTTCCCAAAGAATGGGAACTCTAGCGAGGCAAGCTGGGCCCTAGGTCTTTGTTGTTTAGACTCGCCTCTAAAAAGGCATTTAAAACAAGCAGAGTTCCTGTAGGTTGCCGTGTATCCACTCCTCTCTGAGAACTTCCCTGTAACTTTCTTTTCGCCTATAAGGAACTGTGCCTGTATCCTAAGTTAAGCGTTTGTTCCCAAAGTTCACACAGATGAGTCAATTCCAAAATCCTCAGAAATAAAAGAGGCACCTCTTAAGGTAAAATGTGTGTGTATTTGCCAGCCCAGAATAAACAAAAGCCAGTTAATCTATCGAGTTTGGCAGCTGTGTTCACAGAATGATAAGGGTTTATCATTTGCCACCTAACTTAAAGATGCCTGTTAAAATGTTGTGATTGCTTTTCAGGTTCTTCTGTGGTGTGTAGTGTTAGGGCTTGTACTTGCAGAACATTTATCCTTCGCATCTCACTATGCATTAGCATTTGCATTAAAAAGAAAGAAAAACAGAAATAAGAGGAGGGAAAGACAGTTTAAAGAAAATAGATTTTAAATCTAGTAGAGATACTTGAAGAATGCTTGGTGATAAGAGCTGGATGTGATATGAGAAAAGTATCAAGAAGTCAAAGTTAATGAATGGTTGTGAGAAAAGTGAAATAAACTATGCAGAGGTCTATTAAAGAGAGAAAACCCGGTTAGGTGATATGAAAGGAGGTTAACAGAGGGGATTAGGGAGGATGTTAATCAAGTGCCCCCAAAGCAATCCAGGCTATAAGGACTTGGAGGTTTGTTTACTGCATTTTACTTCAAAAAACAAAGAATGTCTGGATCCAGTTCAAAAGTCAATGAGAGGTCAGTTTAGACTCTTCAACCATCACAGAGAGAATCCTGAAGTTACTATATTCTGACT